AGTGAAACTATATTTGAAGGCTACCTACACAGAGGCATGAGCACTGCATGAACGCTGAATATTTGTAAAGAAATCTTTGAGTATTTATGAACAGCTTATGCCAGTAATTACAAGACAACAAGATATATTTTATCAAATAAATGATATTGTATTGTATTTAAGGAATTTAAACTAAATGTGATGTACATTTGTTTCATTTATGATACTGTTATGAAGCATCATTCCCATGTAAAAGAATGAGATGCATTTGCATATACATGCATGTACATATTCTGATAAATTTACTATACTTGAGTAAAAGGAATGTATTACTTGAGTAAAAGTAGTGTTACTGATTACTGAGTTATCAAAGTTGTTATATAATATTATTCTGATTAACAGTTTCAATTAAGGAGACTTCTGTGGCTGCAGAAATGAAAACAGTTAGCTGTTTATTACTGCAGCCACACAGGTCTCCTTAATATAAACTGTACTTTTATATTGTAACTGAAGTAGAATGTATATAACTGATGTGGTGTTATTAACTAGGACTGTCTTCCATTTCCATTACAAGTTCCATTACTTGGGAATGTTTCTTCATAACAGTATCATAAATGAAACAAATGTACATCACATTTAGTTTAAATTCCTTAAATACAATACAATATCATTTATTTGATAAAATATATCTTGTCGTCTTGTAATTACTGGCATAAGCTGTTCATAAATACTCAAAGATTTCTTTACAAATATTCAGCGTTCATGCAGTGCTCAGCTTGTCCAACATTGCAACAGCTACACAGGTAAGCATTTGTGGGCAGAGCATAGAGAAGTCAACTGCAGTGTTGGAAACATAGGCCTAATAAGAAATAAAAAAATGTGCAATTTCCAAATTCAGAGGAATTTGCACCTGATTAAACATTTCAAAAGTCTATTCATCTAAAACATTAACTCGTTCACATCTGGAATGCAGTGGAATCAGATATGAGGTTCCAGGAGAGAAAAACTGCTCATGAACGCATGAACGTTCAATGATGCTTCATAACAGTATAACAAATTAAACAAATGTTTGTGACTTTAAGGTCTCTTATGTCAAAACAGTGCTATTTACTTCATAAAACATGTTATGTCATGTTGCCATTACTGACCTGAGCTTTTCATAAATAGTATTGCGAAAAGTCATGTATTGTTTTATAAAAAATGTATGTGCTTTTGCATGTTTTATGAAGTCCCCTGTAGGTAGATTCACTACATAGTGTCAAGTTGCCTCAGACGAATGTTATATTATCAAAGTTGACAACCAATTTATTACCATGGCAACCAAAAAAAAACCACCTATCCTAATAGTGTGCCCTCCATGTGCACATAAAATAAATATCTCATGAAATTAATAATGCAGTCTAAATTCACATATGTTGACAAAATGACAACTGAACTTGAATAGCAATGTTTACATTATTCTGTAAAGCTTGTCCAACCTTACAACTGTTGCTATGAAAGCATGTATTTGTATTTACTGATTCTAGTAATTCTGTGGCATTTTCCTTTAGTAACTAATGTTCAGGACAGAGAGCATCCATTTGCCCGTTTGCACTTGCATACTAAAATCAAATTTTATTGATGAGCTTCAAAGTTTCATAACAGTTCCTATGACCCTTCATTGACTGCAAACCTGCAAAACATTTAAACAGTCATCTAATTAATGACAGAGAGAGGAAAGGAGAATGAGTGAGAGAGAGAGAGAGAGAGAGAGAGAGAGAGAGAGAGAGAGATAGAGAGAGAAACAGAGACAGACAAAGACTGACTAATGTAGTGCAAGTTGTACAGGCATGGAAGTACAGGTGGAAAGAGTATAATAACAAATGTCTCCTTCCGAAGTGCACCTGACCCTGTATTTACCATCCACAGCTGTAGTATTCAGAACAACAGAGATTGAATAGAATACACAGTGAGGGCTTTCTGGATAAGAGCAAGGCTACTGGATGGTGAGATTCATTTTGCTACTGAGAGATATCTTCAGGACAGGTAATCAAACTGCACAAATATTTATCATGGCTATGAGACAAGCCAGCTCTGAGATTTCCATGCAGGCCAGGTTGGCTTAAGTAAATAGACGTTATGAATTCATACAGGCTACGCTGATGTGATGAGGTTGTTCAGCTGAGCACTGCTATAAAGCATGTTTAGGTACAAATTATAGAAAAATCAAATTTGCACTTATACAAATTACTCAGTGTACATACAAATAATCTTGTCCGCAAGAAGTAATTAATAAAGATTCGTAAATTATTCTTGGCTTATGTGTATATTTCTAGCGAAATACTTTAATTGGTGCAGAACCTTTACATTGCATGGAGTCCACCATACATCTCATTTATATCAATAATACATTGAAAGTGAAGCCAAATAAAGGTGTTTTTTCTGTGACATTCATCAAAGAACCATTTAAGCACCTTTATTTTTAAGAGTGTACAGTACAAAATGGAGCATGCAGCCCCACTAGTTCAGTAGGTGTGGGTTGCCATGCTTGGTTTTCTTTTAGTAAGATGAATGAGAAGAAGAAAGTCAGGAAGAATACATCAGAATATATCAAAAAGGTCATTAAATACAAGAAATTAATTTTTCAGAAGATATTCCTGAGGAAAATGGCTATAAGGAAGGAAAATACATGAAAAACAAGAGTTTACAAAAAAGAATATTTTAAAAGATATAGCGGAAATGGGACTCCTAACAACTATGCAAGATATGGCAGACCACCAAAGCTGCCCTCACCAAATAAAAAGGATAAAAAGCTTTCATCAGACTGAACAGGTGTTTCTGTTCATCCTCTTACTGTGAAAAGACAACTCAATGCTATGAGTCTGAAATGATGTGTTACTGAGAAAAAACAATCAAACAAAGAAGTTGCTGGTGTTCTCAGAACAATGGATCCATCCTAGAGCTCAGACCTCACCATCATTATAAATATCATGTGTTTACATGGTTGACTTGGATTATGAGAAGCAGAAAATACAACCAAATTCTAAGACTGAACTTCAGAGATGTGGAAAATATCCCAGCAGACTGAAAGGAAATAACCCAATAAAAAGACTGGAAGCTGAAATAAAGACAAAGCGTGGAAAAATGTGTTGTTAATGAGCATTCTGACTGGAAATCAAATAAATAAAGGATAAATAAAGGCTGGTCTCTGACTTTTGCACAGTGCTGTAAATTGATACATATCCATGATATTGGGCTGTGCATTCATGTTTGGAGAACCCGAGTGGGGTTACACATAGTAAATGAAGAGCAGATAGAAAAGAGATTGAAATCTTGTGAGGCTGGCTCAGGTCCAAAGCCATCTACTGGGGCATGCACTTTAGAAATTGGCATGGCAGTGAGCAAATTCAGTGAGGTGAGGCCCATGCCACAGTAGAGGTCACACATGGGACCAGCGGCATAAAGATGCCGAGTACCAGCGAGAAATAGAGTATTTTACACACCACTGCTCCACCTGCTCTCCAAAATCCCCCAAATTCACATTTTAATCGAAATCCATGAGGAATACAAGTCACCGGATTTAAAACCAGTCACACTTTACTGCTTCCCAAAAGGCTCCCTGGCAGGCTAGTATAAGAAAGAAGTTCCAAAAAGCACTACATTTCAGTGGTAAACAGCAAAAAGGAAGAGTGCACTCAAATTGCATGGCAATCTTGCAGCCAGTGGGTTTATGATAATTGTGAATGAAATCAAATTTCCAGAAAATGTCCGTGTGGCTGAATGGTGCTCTTTTTACTGAAGCATGTCCACATGCAAAGAAAGGTAAAGACCAGCTCGCTCACTCACACGATATTTCACAAAGCACTAGCAGTTTTCCATCACTCTTTGTGTGAGATTTTTTTATTCTTTTTTTTTACTATTTTGAAACTGTACTGCCTCTTACAGATGTACTAGTTGCAGATGCAAAATGCCTCTGCTCTGTTTTCCATTCAACTGCCAACGTTTTGAAACCACTTTAATTTTCCTGGAAGACCCTGTAGTGCAGCTTTCTCTTGGGTACAAAGCCCAGCGCAGCGCAAAAAGGCCACATTATAATCACTGCATTAAACAAACCGGGCACGTTGTGAGGTCGATGATTAATTCATAGGGCTATTCTCCATTTCATACATTTATGAAGGACATTACCCGTCCAATGGAAACACCATCCGCGTATGCTGCGCACACCTCTACTCCTGCTCGCCGTTGACACGCGTTGAAACTTTCAGCACCACCGCATGGTGGACAGCTCCCGTGTCCGAGGCGTCTATGGGGAACTTCAGCGTGTTTTATGACCAGGGTTTTACTTCAGGATCGCCAGAGAATCACACTGCACACCCACATCTCAGAAACAGAGATTCAGATAGGAAATGAGGGAGACAAGACTGTTCACTGTCGCCCAAACCAGTCAGTACGTACGGGATTCAGACTGGAATAAAAAAAAACTCAACATGCTAAAGCCAAGCCTTCAAAAAGCTGAAATGAGACTAAGCAACGAGTAAAACCAATCACAGATCAAAAACTGCCTCTCAGTGTTCCAGTGCCATACAGAAAGATCTGCAGTACTGAAATAACAGCTACGATTACGACGTTCAATTAACAACTACAGTGTTCATTTTAGTCCAGCTGGGGATACTATTAGCGCCCCGGGCAGAACAACAGGACTTTAAGTGATCTAAGTCATTTTCACTATATTTCCACAGCACCGCACCTGCAGTGTGTTGTTCCGGAGCTGATGCAGCGCCCTGCACTCCAACTTATCTGCACAGCGCTGAGACGAGAGTGCTGCTGATCTGGCGTTGCGAGGACTCAGCAGCTTCCCTAGTTTTGCTCATCCTGACCAGAACAGTATAAAGTTCTTTAGACAGTATAACAGTATAAAGTTAACTTTAGTCCTTAGAAAACGCAAAATCTCACCGTGCAAATTCAACCTCTCTACTACTGAAACGCTTTGGTAGATGTGATGCACAGACAAGACAGTCTGAGTGTAAAAGTGAAATACTTACCCACTTTTCCTTCTCGTATCTGACCCCAGAACAGACTTCACTGCACACCACACTACACTTCCATGTCTTCACCCGCACGTGTACAAACTTTCCACACTTGGTAGGCTTCGCTCTCACCTGTGACTGCGCTCAGAGAAACAGAAAAAGGCAGAGAAGGCAGACCAGAGAGGAGCAAGGTGGAGAAACCCCTCCACGCTGCTGAAAGAGAGGCGCCTCAACCGCATTCATTGAGGACGAGCTCGAGTGGGATTTTTTTACCCACCCGTATTCAGTCAAACATCGATTCTAGTGCTGAGATTGGCTAGTAGTGTCCCGCCTCCTACACTTAGATTGGCTAGCAGTGTTCCGCCTCCTGCCCTGGGATTGGCGAGTAGTGTTTCACCTCCTGCGCTAGGATTGGCTGGTAGTGTTCCGTTACCTTCCCTGGGATTGGTTAGTAATGTCCTCATCTTGCGCTGGGATTGGTTAGTAATGTCCCCCTCCAGTGCTGGGATTGGCTAGTAATGTCCCCCTTTTGCAGTGGGATTGGTTAGTAATGTCCCTGTCTTGAGCTGGCATTGGTTAGTAATGCTCACCCACTGTGCTGGGATTGGCTAGTAATGCCTCCTCTTATGCTGGGATTGGCTAGTAATGTTCCCCTTTTGCACTGGAATTGGCTAGTGCTGTCCCACCTCCTAGTCCATTTGTGTCCCACCTCCTATGCTAAGATTGTTGGTAGAAATTGTTGTGTATTGGTCACCCTCATCATCTAGTAAAATGGATTTTTTTCCGGCAAGACACTCAACCTTGAACGACCAAAAGTGCTAAAAAAAACAGTAGTGAACAGATAATGCATAACTTCAACACATGGTGTAAAAGTGGCAAAAATGTAGCAGGTTCGTATTATACATCCATATAACTAAGACCTACTTTTATCATACTTCTATAATCTGTGTAGCATTGTATTTATGCCTGGGTGCCACTAATTCCATCTTGCTTCTTGGACCATGTGATCGATTTACCAGCTGGCGTTGATGACAAATGGTGCGTTTAGACCCCATTCGTAAACTCGTAAAGTTGTAAATACCAGTGATAAACTCAGGCAGGTTCCATGTTACCCAAATTTATGAGTTGTAACGTATGGTCAGCCAGTACATCCTCTGTGACAACATGCACACCGTAGATAAAGATGACATAAAAATGTACCAAGTTAATGGTGAATTGTATTGTGATATATTTTCCAGTCTTCGGAAGGTAGGACACAACTAACCAATCTCATTCCAGTGGGCGAGGTTTGTTGGGTAAAAATGCTTGTGACTTAAAGAATTGTAATGGAAGCATCTCAGCTTAGGAACTATAGTTAAGCACTACTCTTGACTTCTGGGATTCTTTTAGTATAAAAGCATAGAAGCTTAAAGAAAAGCATAAAAAAGAAATTAGAGTAAATTTCATATTGTTTGATAAAACTCAGAAATATACAAATCTATGAACACTGAGGAAATATAACTAGTTATTACCCACATTTGCATTTAATCAGACCTAGAGTTAGATGCTGTTTTAAGAGGTTAGAGCACTAAGGGTGAAAAATTAAACTACTACTTTTAGCTAGGGATGGGCATTCCAGTCAAATTTGATAATCAGTTTTTATGTTATTATTCGAATAATATTCAATGAATACCAACACTACCCCCCTAATGCCATGTGTAGCTGGCGCACACACACATATAGGTTCTTGCAGTACTGGTGAAGTTGTGCTTGGGTTAATTCTATTGTTTGTGTGTTATAATCCTGAATGACCAGCGCCACTATGGTGAACGAGTTGACATTTCGTGGTTTCTTGGCCATCACTTCAATTGTTGCACTAGGTTCTGGTGCAGGGCTCTCGTCCACAATAGCACTGGTGTTAAAAGTTGAAAGAAGGTCTTCATTTTTGTTTCTATGGCGCATTTACCTACATCCATAGTGAACATCAGGTGTTTGTGCCTTGGGTCGAGAAATGATATGATGATTTTTTTTCAAATAGACTAGAGCCTCTGACTAAACTCTCTGGTGGAATGAAGTTCAGACATGTCTTTTTCTAGATATGTCATGGTACTGAAACATGAGAATGAGCAATGTTAGAAAAGCTAATTTGTATATGATCAAACATCCTAATTTACTATCTGATTTGTAAACTTTTGTGACTATGCAAATATTCAAATATTCTGACTCATTCCTACTTTTAAAGGTGCAGTGTGTAAGATTTAGTGGCATCTAGCAATGAGGTTACAAATTGAGTACTGAATACCCCTCCCTCACCCCTCCCTTTTCAAGTGTGCAGAAGAAACTACAGTGGCTGTCAGGTTTTCTGGCACTCTCTAGACCCAGCGTTTGATTTGTCCATTCTGTATTACTGTAGAAACATGGGGGCCCAGCATGGGCTATGTTAACATTACCAGGCTGCAGTGGCACAAATCAGATTTTTTGCTCCAATGTGACACAGATCTGATGTTTTCAGAGCTGTGTGGACACACAAATCTGATCTTTTCAAGTCCGACCTGAACCAATTTTTAATTTGTGGTCCTAGATTGACTGCATATCTGATTTGTAGCCATGTGACCTTAATGAGATTGCTCAGATCGGAATTTTTTTTTCACTGCGCATGTGCCATCATTCAGCATTACTGTGGCAGCAGCGTCTAACCTGAAGTTATAGCCAGTAAATGGTGAAAAAGCAACACATCTACCCCTTTTCGCCTTCATCTCTCTCTAATAATTAAAAGCTGAGAGCTGTTCAGAGCTTATTATAATGCAGCGAAGGCTTGCTCTGCTGGTTAGTTTGTTTGCTATTCATGGTGCATGTGATTCAGTAACGTGACGTTACTGATTAGGATGTGTGCATGCAGGTCGTTTCAGGACTCCACTTTGTTCACATTAATGACAGATTCGAGTGTGATGAGTGTGTGAACCATGATGTTAGAGAGATTGGATCTGAGCAAAAAATTGGATTTCAGCAATGAGGCTCGTAATGTGAATGTAGCTATGACAGCCTCTGTTTGAGAGTATCTGCTCCCTACATATCTCCCTGAAGATATGCAGAGTTCATTCTAAGATAACAAAAACACAACGATTCATAGTTACAGGTGATTATACACTAAAGAAAACAAGGTTTGTTACACTGTATTCCATTTCTGCTAATAGATCCCCCTAAATCTAACATGCTGCACCTTTTAATAAGCAACATTTTTTTACTTAGACATCAACGTGTAGTGGTTTATCAATAAGATCAGGATGAAGATTCTTTATATGGCTGCTTCATTTGCAATATCCAAACAAGCAAAAGCAATGCAGTGCCTTTCATGCGTAACAAAAGAACACAAATGTAATATTCACTCTAAAATGCCTGTTTGGTGTGAAGACATGGACTGTGAGGGAAATGCTGGCGACTGAAGTGTGTTTCTGTCTCTGCCTCTTATTTTTCTACAGTCTCCTTTTTATCATTCAGATTCTTTCACTGCAACATGCACTACCTGATCAAAATGCATATAACTACCTTTGTATTTCCACAGAGTGCACAAAATTGTGATTATATGGTCAGGACAGATCTATCTGTGTAGGACAATGCCAAGCTCTCTGTTCTGGCCTTCCACATCTTACACCATCACAGGCTGACCATTGGAGAAGTGGGGTCATGTCAGGAGGGAAGAGGGGATGCCAGTCCTTCTTAATTTCCTCTGGTCTATGGACTCTCCCTGGCCAGGGAGAAAAAGACATAGAATATTTGGCCACTACACAGTCTACTGTGTGACCTGCTAATATTGGACTCTCTTTCTACAGTGCATCTGCTATGCTGGAATTACACCACGTCTCCACTTCTGTACAATCCTCTGGTGTTGAATTTTTCATATCCAGTAGGTTTACCTACATGTGAGTGATGACTTTCAAGGCCTCTGCTTGCGTCTTGTCAAAGCAGCATGATATATGAGTGTCAATATTGGATGTAATATTTGTGTGAGAGGTTTTTATAAAATTACCTGAAACCAACATTATAGGATATTGAGATGCCAGGACAGCTCAGCTTTGGTGAGTGAGATCCTAAGATACAAAAACTGTATCATCTTCAATGTATATATAACTTTTGAATTCCCCAGACAAACACTTGGTCTTTTGGTCCTCTTTTCTGCATTAATTACATGATTTCACAAAGTCATTGTTACATTTAATTTGATATGTAAAAAACTTGATCTAACAAAACTGGAAATTGGTAGATTTTTATTTGTTTATGTGACAACCTGCCATTCTGAACAAGTAACCATACAAATGGGAATATATGAAGGGTTTCCTTGCAAAATGCATTACAGACAACTTTCAAGAATTTTCTTATTTTCCTGATATATGTTGCTGTGAGAGAGCTTTGTACATTCAAGAAATAGGTATGATATGATTAATAACACCTTTATCAGAGACATTAATATGTGTTTTCCATTAAACTTCAGATGTTATTCTTTTTAAAAGCTCATTCAGCATTTTAGAATGAAACTCCTCATATTCACTTTTCATTTTTTCTCACTTTTTTCAACCATTTATTTTTGCTGATGGAACAAATCAATAATAAGATTTCATTCTGAATGTGTATTCACACTCACTCAGAAACTATCACAGTGCATCCACCAGTATGCAGAATGGTACACCTTTAATATAATCATAGAACTCCATGTGGAGTTCCATGATACATTTTACCAGTGGCAAAATGTGACTTTCAGAGCTAGGTCTTTACTGTGGGCCATAAATGTCAAAACTCAATGTGAAAAATGAGGGCACCTCTTCAATAAAGCTAATTTCTGCTATCACCCCTGTGCGATTCTAGTATAGCGCTAAGCCAAGCTTTTTGGCTGTTCTAGATTAAATGCAGATATTTGAAGTTGTACAAGACATTCCATGTTTTATTTGAAGCTTGCAACATACATATTGAATATATTTGACTTTGTATGTTATTGTTTTATAATGACTGTCAGCAAAGAGCCCTGCAATACAACTATTGCTGTTGTCTAACATCTGACTGAAACACATTGTTCAGGCTACCACTCATGCTCACAATCAGTGATGTATTCAGGACTTCCAGAAGATCTAGTTGACTGATTTCACTGTCATTTCTTAATTATATTAGTGGTTTATCTGGCACATCAAGCCTTCAGTTCAGCTTCTGAAGGCCTAACCAATTGG